AAATAAATAAGTGGAACGCCGCCCTCCACCATTGTGCAGCAAGCAGAAGAAGATGACAGGACTGTAAAATAAAACATCCCCTGAAAACAAACCCTAGTGCATTTTTGGAGTAAAAATTAATATTAGACCCTGTCTTATTTTTGGGGAAACACGGAATTAGTGTCATCAACCAAAAAGCCTTTTTTCAATAATTGAAAAAATAAGAAATATAGTGGTGCCCCGCATAGCTACGATAATCCATGCCAGAAAAATCGTCGCTATAGGGATTCATCGCTATGCGGAACAAAGAAGCCCATAGGAATGTATTAAAACACGTTTAATGCGTTCCTATGGGCAAAAAACTCACAATTGTGCGAAATCCTCCATGCGGCTGCCATTTTCGCTGCCTGGTAAGTGAGGAATCCGGGCAAAAACACAGCGGGTGGCCATTTTATTTACCCGGTGCCCATTTTGGAACCGCCGATCAGCTGTTAGAAAAAACATCGCTATGCAAAAATCGGTAAGCGAACCACTTACCGATCATCGCAAAGTGATGTTTTACCATTTAAAACATCGCAATGCGATCGCAAAAATGATCGCAAAAAACACATCGCTATGTGGATTCGTTGTTAAACAAAGCGCTCGTTATGCGGGGCACCACTGTAAAGGTCAACCACAAACAGATTTGGTCATGAAGGGATCTGCTAACTTAATTCTGATACTGCTCAAAATACTTTGGGTGTGCATATGCTCACAGCCACCCTGTTTTTTAATTTTTGACATATGTCCATATGTCTAAGCTGCTATTTTGCACCTGACTCTAAATGATAGGTCTTAGATTTTTAGTAACTAGCAAATGTGATTCAGGCTTGAAGAGTATTAATCCTTTCCTTACGCCACAGTGTTGTTACACACCATCAAATTGCTTCTGATTCATGGAGACCCTATGAATTACTGACCTCCTATCATTAACAGCTATCTATTTTGTTAACATTATTGTCGTTTCCAATGAATTTTGTCTTACGATTCATGGAGACCCTATGAATTACTGACCTATCATTAACAGCTATTTTCTTAACATTATTGTCGTTTCCAATGAGTTTTGTCTTACAACTTGACTTCCAGTTAATTGTCAGTCCACCTCAAGATGCTGGTACTTATCTATCAAACCCCAAACAGTTCAGGACCAGGATATCTGAAGGATCACCATCTGTCATATGAACAGGCTGAAATTAACTTCAGAGGTCTTGTTATGTAACCTGAAGAGGGTTATTTGCTGGGAATGCAAGACAGAGTAACTTCTATGGAATATAAGGGAATACAGACACTCCTTTCAAAGGAAATAAGGCTAATCCCATCCCTGATAAGAGTTTAGATTGGAAATTAACACATTCTTATTCTGCAGAATGGCAACTGAGAAGCATGGAGGATGAAATAAACCCCAGTATGACCACCTATAACTGCCGCTGGGCACACCAATAATTCCCCAGCACCACTTTCGGAAACAGGTTAAGTAAGATTGGAAGCCTGCAGGACAGTGGCCTTCATCCCATCTCACACAATCTATGCAGAAGGATCCTGAAATATGGCTCACACAATCTATGCAGAAGGATCCTGACATATGGTACTGTTATTTATTTGTTTGTTTGTTCGTTCATTCATACCCTGCCCATCTAGAGTGCTAGGGAATCTTCTGCCCTCCAAAACGTAAAAATCCAAAACTGCATAGATTACTTGCAGGAATCTAAGACTGGCTTAATATTTCAGTAAATATTCTGTTTAAAACTAATTTTGCCTCCTTTAATTATTGACATCCCATTATTTTGGGGTTAATTGTCTCTGTTTTGTCATCATCTTTTATATTAGCTGCTTTTTATACATTGTTAAAGATTGGTTTTCTCTGTTTAATGTTTTAAATTGATGTTGACTGATAAATTTCATTTTATGTCCATGTCATTTTGTTGTAGGCTGCCCAGAGTAGAGGCCTAGCTGCTAGATGGACAGGGGTAACATTTAAAAATTAAATTAAAAAAATCTTAGCTACTTACAGAAGCCATTTTTCTTTGATTAATGAGCGGCAGGCCAACTCTATAGTTCTCATTTAGAATACTTCGGTGGCAGGCATTTTCCGGATTGTACAAAATCTTCATCATCACTGAAAACTTGTGCTGTAAGAAAAAGCTGAAATAAATGCTGTGTGGAACAAAAACATGGGGAATTTTCACCTTTTTCAAGGATATTCTGCACACAAGCAATTTGAAAGCAGGAAGGAAGACTTGTCCACAAAAGCTCACATTAAAATATAGCAGTTAGTCTTTAAGGTGCCATACTGTAGACCAGAGGTTCCCAAGCCTTTTCAATTCATGACCCCCTTTTACAACAGCTGAGTAACCTGTGAACCACCACCCCCCCCGGAACGTTTGCAGAAAAAGGCACTTTTAATAAGGCAGTGTTTCTCTTCTCAGAAAGTAGAGGCTTCCTTCTTCTTCCAAAGGGCCTTTCTCCTATTTCCTTTTGTGGCTACTAAAATCGAGCAGACCCCAATTTCCTGATGCAACTTTACAGCAAGTGAATGGGAGTGAATTCCCATCACTTGCTGTGTAGTCACCACCTCAGAACGGTTGTTCCTACTGAATACTGCTTTCCCTTGAAGTGATGCTTTGTGGCATGTATAACAGCACTGACTGGAGCAAGACCCCACTGAAGAATTATGACACAGAACAACAGTAAGTCTGTGCAGAATTGGTGCAACACCCAACACTTTTTCTTTTTCCCAGCAGACCCAAACCTCCCCATGCTTCCTTTCTCTTCCTCTACAAAGCCCCATCTGCACATCCGCCCAGTTCACCGCTTTCACACAACTCCTAGCTCCATGAAGTGGGAACACTCTTACCGGGATGGCAGCTGGGGAAATGATGGCAAACGCTGTTGCCCCAAGAACATATGCTGCTGTCCCAACAAGAATTTCCACCTTCTAGAATTTAGGCTTAGCAGGCTGTGTGTTCTAATCCAAGCCAGAGCCCACCCCTCCCTGTGGTGTACGTCAAGAGGAAAATGGAGACAAGACGTGAGAAGAGAGGATGAGGTGCCAGATAGAAAAATGCCACACTTGGCTACAAAGGTACTGCATTTATCTGCATAGACTCTTTTTATCAGAACTCTACTGACATCGTGGAGGGGTTTCTTGGGTATAGTGGATGTAGTAATTTCTGCTTTGATCAACAGCTGCATTCATATTCCTACCAAAAAAGGTAAAAGGTAAAGGTTCCCCTTGACATTTTTAGTGCAGTTGTGTCTGACTCTAGGGGGTGGTCCTCATCTCCGTTTCGAACCCTTAGAACTAGCGTTTGTGCAGCCAATCTTCCATGGTCACGTGGCCATCGTGACTAGACATGGAATACAGTTACCTCCCCATCGTGGTGGTACCTATTCATCTACTTGCATTTGCATGCTTTCAAACTGCTAGGTTGGTGGGAGCTGGGACTAGGGACAGGAGCTTACTCCATCGCGTGTATTCGATCTTACAATTGCAGGTCTTCTGACCTTTCAGCACAGAGGCTTCTGCCTTGAAAATTATTTCAAGTTTTCTCCTCGTTTGCTCCCCAGATAATGGACAGTCAACAAGCATAGCTGTACCCACTTAGAGCTCTGCTAAATTTCCTGGAGTGGAGTGTACCAAACTTCTGAGGCTAACGACTTCGCATAAAAAAAATTCAAAATTTCTGCACAAGTGGAGCTCAGATCCTCAACATAAAGCAAATGCATAATGACCTACCAATTATGTGCCTCATTGTTGTTTTATTTTAAAAATAGCGATACCATCTTTAGAATCAAGAGATGACATAATTTGTTTAAATCACAATATTTGGATTTTCATGCCATTTGTAAGACATAATTCACTAGTGAATATTTTAACCTATTCTATGCTCAGAAACTTAGAACAGGTAAATCACATCCATTTCTCTGCTGGATTTCACTACTACTTAATAATAAAAAGCCATTTTGCCAATGCGCAATCACAGAAAACAGCTGGCAAAACAGCACTACATTTCTTTTTTGACTGAGAATTATTAGAGCTCTCTCACGTGTCAGCAGATGCTATCAACATGAAAGGGCAGTGGGGCTCCAGCTGCCCAAGGTAAACTACAGGGGGAAACCATAGTGTGCCCTCTCTCTAAATTAAGCTCAACCATGCATGCTGAAGAGGAGGAATGGGCTGGATGGAAAAAATATTTTGTAGGGCCAATGGATTCTGTTCTTACTGCACTGTCATTTGGGGACAACCACACTGGCTATTTAAGACACATTTTCTATCAGAGTTGGCACAGATAAAATCAGTGTAAAAACTGGCAAGCACACAACATAAAGCTAAGCATGGGGAAGCCCAGTATTTTTTTACTGGGTAATCATCTCTTTTTGTTCAGTCAGTTGAGATAATTTATTTTGCTCTGACTCTATGACATTGTTTTTCCTCTGCTTTCTGGGATATGTGACTGCGAAGGGGCAACAGTGGACGTGTCAGTAGGCATGCTGTTACATATTTTCTCTCAACTAAGACTTATTGTCTCCTTTCTCCAAAAAATGTTCTTATTTTTAAAAAATTATTACTATGCGTACCAAAGGCAGGGCAATGCCAGAGAGCTGTTAGGTAACTTCAAAAAAATGAATACAGAAAAGAAGATGATGTGAAGGTGGTCCCAGCAGAAACTGCCACTCTCAGCAAAGCTGGCTCTTTTCAAAGTTTTCTGCCTCTGCCCCATGAACTCCTACAACACACAAACTGGTATGGACAGCGACAATGATTTCATCCATGGAAACTAAGAGAGACCCTGTTCAAAAAACTTCAAAGAAAACTGAGCTTTCATCCATACTGTATGTCGTCACACCAGCACTTAAGTTATGGAGTTGCTATGTTTCCTTAACAAGTTGAACACTCCAAGCCTGAAAAGAAGAAATACCACTCTGGCCATTAACAAAAGCAAAGGTAGGCAAGGGGATAAAAAACAAGGGAAGGCTCTGTCCCATGCAAATGTTTGCAAATTCTAAGGAACTTAGAATTGTTGTAGATCAAAAGTTGAATATGAGTCAATGGCATGATGTGGCTGCAAAAGAGGCAAATACGATTTTAAGATGCATTAGCAGAAGTATAGTCTCCAAATCCCATGAGGTACTAGTTCCCCTCTATCCAGCACTGGTTAGGCCTCACCTAGAGTACTGTGTCCAGTTCTGGACACCACACTTTAAGAAGAATGCCAACAAACTGGAGCAAATTCAGAGGAGGAAACAAGGATGGTCAAGGGACTGGAAACCAGGCCCTATGAGGAAAGACTGAAAGAACTGGACATGTTTATTCTTTAAAAAAGAAGACTGAGGGCAGATGCGATAGCACTTTTCAAATACTGTACCGTGTTCCACCAAAAATAAGACAGGGTCTTCTATTAACTTTTGCTGCAAAAAATGCATTAGGGCTTATTTTCAGAGGATGTTTTATTTTTTTCATGTACAACAATCTAGATTTATTCAAATACAGTCATGTCATCATCTTCTGGTTGCTTCACAATGCTGCAGGGGCAAGGTTTCACTTAACTGGGGCTTATTTTGGGGGTAGGGCTTATATTACGAGCAGCTTGAAAAATCGTACTGGGGTTTATTTTCAGGTTAGGTCTTCTTCTGGGGGAAGCAAGGTACTTGAAGGATTGCCATACAGAGGAGGGGCAGGATCTGTTCCCAACCATCCCAAAGTGCAGGACACATAATAATGGGCTCAAGCAACAGGAAACCAGTTTTAGGCTAAATATCAGTAATAACTTCTTAACTGTTAGAGCAGTACAGCAATTGAACCAATTACCTTGGGAGGCGGTGAGTGCTTCAATGCTGGATGTATTCAGGAGGAAAATGGACAACCATCTATGAGATCTGCTTTGATTTGGATTCCTGCATTGAGCAAGGGTTGAACTCGATGGCCTTATAGGCCCCTTCCAACTCAATTATACTATGATTCTACGACTGCAAATGTTTTGTGTCTTTCTGGATGGCCTATTAAAGACATTACTCTTGTGTAGGCTCAGGGTACACCCATTTCTGAGATGAAGCTCATGATTTACTGGTTCTGTTACATGAGTATAAGAACCAGAGAAAGTCCTTGTCTTGTGGACTTGTACTAGATTACATCTGTTATGCCCCCTTTTCCACCCACCTCTGATCCATAGCAGGCCTCACATGCTAAAGCTTCAACTCTACTACTGTCAAGACAGAACCTGCTTTGATTGACTGAAGCAAAACACCAGATTAGGTGTTGCCACTCGGAAAGTTCTCTGAGAGAGCATTTTGGAAGGGAAGGTCAGATGGATGTATCAGATGGTTTATTTATTTACAGTGGTGCCCCGCACAGCGAAGTTAATCCGTTCCGGATTAACCTTCGCTATGGGAAAGCATTGTTAAGCAGAACGGGGAAACCCATTGGAACGCATTAAACTACGTTTAATGCGTTCCAAATGGGCCCAAAACTCACCATTCTCCAATGTTTTCCCATGTTCCGGCGGCCATTTTGGGTGTCCTGGTGGCCATTTTGGGTGTCCCGGTGGCCATTTTGGGGGTCCGGTGGCCATTTTGGAACCGCCGAACAGCTGATCCCCCATCGTAATGCGAGCATGCCCTTGCATTAGCGATGGGGAAATCCGCATCGCAATGCAGATTCATCATTCAACAGTGCCCTCGTTATGCAAAGCACCACTGTATTTATTTATTTGATTTATATCCTGCTCATCTTGTCAAATCGACCACTCTAAGCAGCTTCCATAAAAAGTATACAGTGAAGCATAAATTTTTTTTCAGATAAACAACACCACATACGTATAATAAAACAAATAATAAATGGAAAGAGAAAGGAAATTAAGTATTGACAGGAAGGAAGGCCTGAACATATAACCATGTTTTTAGTTGACTCTTAAATATGCCCAGCGTAGGGGCCGCACGAATTGCTGGAGGAAGGTTATTCCAGAGGTGAGGAGCCACCGCCGAGAAGGCCCGATTTTGTGTTCTTTCCTTCCAGGCCTCCCTCGGCGTTAGGCTCCTCAGCCTCACCTCCTGGCTCGTGCGGGTGATCCAGGTAGATCTAGGTGGGATCGGGCGTTCCGCCAAATAACGAGGTCCTGAACCGTTTAGGACCTTGTATGTAAGCATTAACACTTTGAAGTCGACATGGAAACGGATGGGCAGCCAGTGCAGCTTGGCCAGGATAGAAGAGATATGATGGTATTTTCTCACTCCAGTGAGGAGTCTGGCTGCCGCGTTCTGCACCACCTGAAGTTTCCGCGTCAGCTTCAAAGGGAGCCCCACGTAGAGCACATTACAGTATAAAACATTGGAGACAATAGAGCAAAAGTTGCTTCAGATCAGACCTTTGAACCTGAGGACATCTGCAGTAGCGACCTGCTGGGCTTAGTGGCAATTGCAGAAATTTCTGGGAAAGTTATTTCTTTCTGAGAAGTCTCCAAGGGGATCCCCCTGAGTTAAGAGAGAAAATAAGAAAGAGACAGGATGAAATAATTTAAAGCTATAAAGCTTAGTTGAATTTCAGATTTATTTCTACAGCTGGAAGAGTGGAGGGCAGAAAAGTACACAAACCACTATTAGTACACCTGGAATGTTTTGTGTTTTAATCACATTGAGTACATATAACTGTATGTAATGTAGTTAGTATGCTGTTCATAATCCTGAAACGACATGATGTGTTTTCCTTGTTGAAAGCTTGATCTTTTATTGTTTTATTAAAGTTTTTACTTGGAAGCTTAACCTGTGAAGATTTTTATTTATTTATTTATTGGATTTTTATCCCGTCCCTTCTAGACCAAAAGTCTACTCTGGGCAGTTTACAAATGTAAAAACAAAAAAAATATTATAGAACCAAGGGGGTGAAAGTATATAAGATACGGCAGGAGGGAAAGCTTGCCCAAATAGCCAGGTTTTAAGTTTATTCCTGAAAACACCCAGAGAAGGAGCCAGGCAGATCTCTACTGGCAAGTTGTTCCAAAGACAAGGGGCCACTGCCGAGAAGGCCCTGTTCCTCGTTCTTTCCTTCCGGACCTCCCTCGGCGTTAGGCCCCTCAGCCGCCCGGCCTGGCTGGAACGAGTGACTCTGGAAGAACTGGGTGGGAGAAGGCACTCTGCCAGATATCGAGGTAAAATTTGACCTTACATGTAATCATAAGAACTTTGAAATCAATGTGGAAATGAATAGGCAGCCAATGTAAGGCGGCCAGCGTGGGGGAAATATGTTGGTACCTTTTCACTCCTGTAAGAAGTCTGGCTGCCGCATTCTGTACCATCTGAAATTTCTGCATCAGTCTCAAAGGCAGCTCTACGTAGAGCGCATTACAGTAGTCTAATCTTGAGACTACAAGCGCATGGACCAAAGTGGTGAGCGCCCCCACATCAAGATAGGGACATAGCTGGGCATCGTCTGGTCATCAAAGTATCTTCAAGGGGATTCCAGTGAGCACTGATTCACTATAAACTAATTTTCCCCCTAAGTTCCTGTCCTTTTCTGGGCCCAGTTATATATCAGCTTTCAGCTTTGCTTTACAAAATCTCTTGGTTGATCCCGTAGTGCCTCTGAAAGCATGTCTAGTTCTGCAATGTCCGGTAGCTTCTTTAATAGCTCATCCATCGTTGGTGTCTCTTCATTCTTCCATTTTTGGGCCCAGAGTAACCTAGCTGCTGTGAATACGTATATACAGTAGACTACATTTTATTTTCTTGTCAATAATTTCTGGCATTATATTCAGGTTTAAAATTTAATTTTTGTTGAACGTTTTCTTTTCCCAAACCTGTATCCATTTATTTTTATTTTTATTTTATTTTTTGCTTTTTCACATTACTACCACATATGATAATAGGTCCCTGGCTTTTTTTTTACACTTCCAACAAACATTACTGTTACCTTCTGACATTTTTTCCAATTTTACAGGGGTAAAATGCCATCTATGAAACATTTTAAGGACATTTTCTCTAAGATTCACTGGCTGAATCATTTTATGATTCTCTTTCCACATCTTTGTCCATTCATCAATATCAATATTGTACCCAAAATGTTGTGCCCATTTTACCATCATTTCTTTCACCCTCTTGTCCTCCAACTTGTATTCCAATAAGTATGTATACATTTTTTAAAATTATTTTCTCATTAGTGGAAATTCATAATTCATCCACCTGGACTTTCCCCTCAAAAAAAGCCCATAGTTTTATCCTTTTTATATCTTGATTCTAATTTCAACATTGACCACCAATATGTAGCTAGACCCAGTTTCTCTAGATCTTTTATATTCTGATCTTTAGTTAATAATTCTTTATACACTCCCTTCTGATTCAACACTTTCAAAGTAAATGCTTCTATTGGAGCTACCCATATTGGAATTTTCTTTTAGGCTTGTGTTTGAAATTTTTGCCATACTAAGCAGAGCGCCTTCCTCAGAATATGTTCTGCAAAATGTGATTGGTCTTTGTATTTCCCATACCACACATATGCATGCCAACCCATTTTTAGATCATGACCCTCCAATTTCAATAATCTTTGATGTTCTAGTATTATCCATTCTCTTATCCAGACCATGACACATGCCTTATAATATAACAGCCAATTCGGTAGTCCTGAACAAGTCTTGCAATATTCTAAGTTTTATTCTTGGTTTCTTGGCCTTCCATACAAATTTTGAAGTCAAGCTGTCCATATTCTTGAAGTATTTATAATTTAATAAAAATGGTAAATTTTGAAATAAAAATAGCAGTTTGGTAATATCATCATCTTTATTGTCGAGATTCTTCCCATCATAGAGGTTTGTAGCTTATTTCATTCTTCCAGGTCATTCTGAATTTCCTTCTGTGTTGTAAGATAATTTTCATCAAATTACTTGGTTTTTTGTGATGATAACTTCTAGATAATTCACTTCCTGTACCTCCTCGAAATTAGTTTTCATTGCCAGTCTTTCCACGTCTTATTTCTTTATGATTTTAGTCATGAACTTTGTTTTTTTTTATAGTTTATTTTAAGACGCACAACAGCTCTGAATTCTTCTATACTGTAGTTCTCACTAATTCTGCCAAACTGTCCAGAGGGTTTTCTAGTATTATTGTCAAATCATCAGCATATTCTTGCAGCTTAAATTCTTCTCCCCTGATTCTGCGACACTTAATTCTAGCATTCCCTCTTATTTGTCTGTTTAAAATTTCTTTAGAATAAATAATAACGGAGAAAGTGGACAACCCTGCCTTGTGCCTTTTTAAGATGTCTCTGATTTTTAAGATGCTGTCAAGGTTGGCCATTGCTTTCCTCCCAAGAAGCAGGCATCTTTTAATTTTGTGGCTGCTGTCACCATCTGCAGTGATCATGGAGCCCAAGAAAGTAAAATTTGTCACTGCCTCCATATCTTCCATTTGCCAAGAGGTGATAGGACCAGTGGCCATGGTCTTAGTTTTTTTGATGTTGAGCTTCAGATCAATTTTTGCATTCTCCTCTTTCACTCTCATTAAGAGGTTCTTTAATTCATCCTCACTTTCTGCCATCAGAGTGGTATCACCTGCATATCTGAAGTTGATATTTCTTCCGGCAATTTTAATTCCGGCTTGGGATTCAGTACATGACGGCTTGGGATTCAGTACATGACGTAGTGCAGCAGTCCCCAACCTTTTTGGGGCTGCGAACTGGCTGTGGGGAGTGAGCTCTATGGTGGTGGGTGGGCAGGGGCAGCCCCACACTCACACAGTGGGCATGTCATGCTTGGTGGAATATTGCGCGAGCATGGCATGCCCCCCTGCAGACATGCAAGCACGGCACACACCCTGCAGGTGCGACACCCCCCCCCCGCATGGACAGCACGCTCCCTGTGCGAGCGTGACATGCCCCCTGTGGGCACTATACTCCTCACGTGTGACACGCTCCCCCGCATGAGCCCACTCCACGTGCATGCGGGGGAGCGGAGATCTGTATCCGCGGCCCAATTCCACCAAGTCCATGGACTGGCACCAGGCCACAGACCGGGGTTTACGACCCCTGACGTAGTGCATAGCAGAAGTCCTTCTCTTCCTACCACTTGCTCAAAAATTCTGTTTTACCCACCAGCAGGCATGGGGGTGGCAATGTTTGGAGCATTACTGACTCCTCCCAATATATTTTTAAATTATTTTTTTTAAAAAAATGGCTCACAAAAAATTGCAAGGGTTTTTTTAGTGACTCCCCTTTTTAATTGAACTGATGTTTCACTTATCAAGTCTCACTGTAGCAGCCTTTGCAGTATGTGGCACACTTAAAAATATAAATTTGCAAATTGCTATTTTTGACCATTCCCTGTCCCTTTACTTCTAACCACTGAGAGTGTTCTCTAGGTGAGATCACCCATCTGTCAAAAAAACTGAGGGAGGGAAGAAGGAAGGAAAAGAATGCTCTTACCATTTGGAAATCTGTCTTGAACACAGATCTCTACCATCAGTTTGTGAAATAGTCAATATGGATCTGTTCACTGCACTTAAATACTTCTCGGTGTGCTTCTGTTCAAGGATATGGGAAAAGGAAAAAAAAAAAGGTTATTATCAGAGTGTTGTCCAAGGGATCTGGTCAAATGCTGGTTTTTGCTAACACAGTGATAGATGTAATAGGCTCTTTACTTCTCAGAGATTATATCCTATCAGTGGCAACAAGCCAAGCAAATGGTGACCACCCAAACAGAGTGAACATAGCTTTCAACTACAATATTTCACATATGAAACATTTTACTGTAGAAAAACAGAAATTCCATTTGTGGGAAACCTCTGCCTAACGGTGGTAGCTATGTTCTGTTCCAGTGATGTGCACACACTCCTGGCAGGAAGTGACAGCTGCCGGCAGGTGGGGTAAACCCTCATTCTGCCCTTTTGCTTAGAGCTAGAGCATTAGATCAGAGTTTCCTCAGACAGTCCAGGTTAGGTAACTAGTATCCTATCTGAATTCTCACAATATACTATGTAACTCAAGCTAACTCATGCTAAGTCAATAAAGGGAGCACTCAGGGCGTTGTCTTTAGGCTCCGCTGGCTCAGACATCTACTTGTTGACTCTTTGTACTTTCTCGAAGCCAATTGCCTTCCTTTTGTTCTGTAATCACCCACATCATTAGCTTTCCTTTGTTCTGTGATCACCCACACCACTGAGATAAGATTTGGCTCCTTTAATTGAAGACTTCAATGCTGGACAATTTTTCATTTTTGCTACCAGCCTACCTTCAATCCACTTTCTGTTCTTTCAATAGCAGCTTCAAGGGTCTGAATATCTGTTCCTTCCAAGTCATGGCTGATATCTCGTAGTTTCTCCTTCAGCTGTTGAAGATCTTCTTGAACCTAGAAAATTAATTGCCATTTGCAACTGATACATACAGCATTAGAAAATATAAACATGTTTTGCTTAGACCAAAAGAGGAACAGACATCTGAAGCACAGCACACACATCACGGAGACCTATTTAGTATTACAGAACATAGAAAGGACTGTTCCATATTTAGAAAGCAAAGCAAAATGTGCTGTTTATGTACTGACCCACAGCACTTAAAGCTCTCTCTGGGCAGCTTACAATTATGCAGGCTAAACACGCCCCCCCCCAGTGAGCAGGGTATTCAGTTTACTGACCTCAGAAGGATGGAAAGCTGAGTCAACCTTTATCCAACTACCTCGGTCCATTGGGATGGAGATTAGGTTGTGAGCAGTCTTGACAGCAGTACTGTTTAACCACTGTGCCACAAGGTCCCTAAAACCTCATAGGGAGATGATTTCTATGATATTTCACATTTTTTTCTGCAACCTACTGTACATTTGAACCCATAAGCAAGTTCAAACATGTTTACTCTGGCCATTCTCACCAATTACAGTGGTGCCTCGCATTGCGACGTTAATTTGTTCCAGAGAAATCGCTGATGAACGAAAACGTCGTAATGCGAAATAAAAAAAACATAGAAACGCATTAAAATGTGATTAATGCGTTCCTAGGGGCTTCAAACTCACTGTTCAGCGAAGATCCTCCATAGCGTGGCCATTTTCGCGGCCTGTTAAGTGAGGAATCCATCCCAGAAAACAGCAGGCGGCCATGTTTTTTCCCCAGTGGCCATTTTGAAACTGCTGATCAGCTGTGCGAAAATGGTTGCTTTGCAATGATTGGTCATCGCGAAGCAAAAATACCCCATAGGGAACATCGTAAAGCTAAACGGAGCGCTTGTTAAGCGAGGCACCACTGTATTCATAAACATGTTCAAACCAACCCATAAACTCAAACATATAGCAGGCTGCAGAAAAAAATAAGACATGTTATAGAAATCCACCACTATGAGTCATTGCATTCAGTGGGTTTAGCTCCATGTTGTTGTTACATGATGTTTCCAGTTTATGGTTATCATCTGATTTAATAGGGGATCTGTGTAGTATAATAGAGTGTCACACTAGGACCCAGGAAACCTGGGTTCAAACCCCTGCTTAACGATTCACTGTGGGTGAATATCCAACCCTTTAACGCCACATACTTCAAAACCACGTTCAGATCACCGTAACTCTAAAGCAACTCAATAGCACATAACAAGATTCTATCATTGACATGATAAAATCTCAAGGCTGTGGCTTCGTTCATTGAATCTTTCCATTGCATTTTCAGTCTGCTTCCTTTCCTGTTCCTTTTATTTTGCTGGGGGATGGGGAAGAGGTGGGTCTGTAACTGGAATTTCTTTGTTTAGCAAGTACATAAGAAGAGCCCTGCTAGATCAGGCTAAGGGCCCATCTAGTCCAGCTTCCTATATCTCACAATGGCCCCACCAGATGCCTTTGGGAGGACACTTGACAACTAGATACCTGCCTCTTTTTTTAAAAATTACTTATTAGTAAAATCAATCCATGCTTATTAAACTAGATACCTGTCTCTTGATACCACTCCCCTGCATCTGGCATGTTGAGATACCTTCCTTTCAAGCCTGGAGATTATACATCCCCATCATGGCATGAAACCTGTGATGACCTTTTGCTCCAATTCCCTTTTAAAGGCGAGGCCAGATGCCATCATCACATCCTGTGGCAAGGAGTTCCACAGACTAACAAAACACTTTTGCCTGTTCTCACTCTCCCAACACTCAATTGGAGTGGATGCCCCCTGGTTCTGGTATTGTGTGAGAGGGAAAAGAACTTCCCTCTATCCACTTTATCCATCTACTACAAAATTTTACACAGTGGTGCCTTGCTAGACGATGTTAATCCGTTCTATTGAAATCGCTCCATTGAATTAGCGAAAACATAGTCTAGTGAAAATCGTTTCCCCATTGGAATGCATTGAAACCCGTTTAATGCATTCCATTGGGGAAAATAGTCGTCGTCCAGCGAAAATCACCCATACGGAAACCATTTTGCAAAGTGGCGATGTTAGAATTGCTGTCTTGCGAAGCTTCAGTCCCAAAAACACCCATTTGCAAAGATTGCCCATAGGGAAGCCATTTTGCGGAGCCACCGATCAGCTGTAGAAATCGTCGTCTTGCGAAAAAACAGTCTGCAAAGCACGGACCAAATCATCGTCCAGTGAAATCCCCCATAGGAAAGACCCTTTTGCAAATCGCTATAGCGATCACAGTCAACGTCTAGCAAAAAAAACGTTTTGCGGGGTAATCATCTTGCGAGGTACCACTGTACGTCTCAATCATGTCCCCCCTCAGGCATCTTTTTTCTAGACTAAAAAGGTAAAGGTTCCCCTTCACATTTTCAGTCCAGTCGCGTCCAACTTTAGGGGGCGGTGCTCATCCTGCTTTTCAAGCCGTAGAGCCAGCGCCTCTCCGAAGACAGTTTTCCATTGTCACGTGGCCAGCGTGACTAGGGAACACCTTTTTACCTTCCTACTGAGATGGTACCTATTTATCTACTCGCATTTACATGCTTTCGAACTGCTAGGTTAGCGAGGAGCTGGGACAAAGCGACGGGAGCTCACACCGTTGCGTGGATTCAACCTTACGACTGTTGGTCTTCTGACCCTGCAGCACAGACTTCTGCGGTTTAGCCCACAGTGCCACCACGTCCCACTCTTCACCTGCAAGATGTTAAACTGCAGCTCCTATCATCCCTTATCTTTGGTAGTGCTGGAAGACTGGTAGTAGTTGTAGCCCAGTGGTATCTGGAGATTGATATTATTCCAATTGCTGTAATAAGACAGTGTTGTCTTCATGATGTTATATTTTGGTAGCTGACCTATTCCGTACAGAGTTGCAGAAGTCATGATTGAAGAGTCATAAGCCTTTCTTATTGGGTTCCACATTGCTCATTTCACCATAGGCTTAGTCAATGTTTTCCTTTACTGTACACTTTTGCAATAACTTGGTGGTTCTTCATATTTTAATGCTTCCCTCCCCTGTGTTTTGCATGCCAAGAATTAGCTTTTTCAACACTTTGAAATCAATGCGGAAACAAACGGGCAACCAGAGTCTGGGAAATATGCTGATATTTTCTCACTCCAGTGAGAAGTCTGGCCGCTGCATTCTGCACTATTTGATGCTTCCGCATCAGTCTCAAAGATAGCCCATTGAATCAATTCCTACAGTACATGGCAAGTCAACACTTTTCACATAACTCAAGAGATTTTGCCTTTATCTTATTAATCTGTCTGCTTTCCACTTTAAATACTAAAAGACACAATACTTTCCTCAATACTTTCGCTGCACTTGATACTCTTCTGATTTTGTGTTATTCCTCTTTTTGCATGCTCATAAATCAATGGGTTTACCCTAGCATAACTGTCCATGTAACTGTCAAGAAAATAAGGCACTGCAATTACTTCTGTGACAGACCAGTGACATGTGCACAACTTGTGTCTGACCGCAGGCACAACCATTAAGTTACACTATGCTGCATGTGTTGTGTGCCATCAAGTCATATCTGACTTAATGACTAGGGTTTTCTAGTTACATGGAATATGGTACCCCTCCAATGAGTTCCCACGCCCAAGTTGGAATTTGAACCCAGGTCTCTTGAGTCCTAACCCATCATTCTGTCCACTTTAAATACTAAAAGACACAATACTTTCCTCAATACTTTCGCTGCACTTGATACTCTTCTGATTTTGTGTTATTCCTCTTTTTGCATGCTCATAAATCAATGGGTTTACCCTAGCATAACTGTCCATGTAACTGTCAAGAAAATAAGGCACTGCAATTACTTCTGTGACAGACCAGTGACATGTGCACAACTTGTGTCTGACCGCAGGCACAACCATTAAGTTACACTATGCTGCATGTGTTGTGTGCCATCAAGTCATATCTGACTTAATGACTAGGGTTTTCTAGTTACATGGAATATGGTACCCCTCCAATGAGTTCCCACGCCCAAGTTGGAATTTGAACCCAGGTCTCTTGAGTCCTAACCCATCATTCTGTCCACTACTCCACATGAGTTCTCACACACGGCTGGTTCTGTGTTAGCTGGAAGTTTAGGGCTAGCCTGAATCTCATGAGTTTACTGTCTTTAAATCTGATGAAGGCAGCCTGGCCCTGCTGCAACAGACGGTTTACTTCACTGGCGGGCAACAGGGATGCCTCAGGATTCAATATACGGAATAACCAAGGGAGGCACCTATGTGGGGAGCCCCCCCCTCCCCGACTCCAGCGGGCGTGTTCCTTGACAGCACATGCCCACACCCACACCCACACACACACACCCCAAGGCCACAGCAGAGGAGCCCCTGCAACCACACGGGTCTGGCCCACCTAGATCGAAGCGGGCAAAACAGAATTGGCGGGCAACTCCTCACCCCCACCCGGCCTCCAAAGGGGGGGGGATGGCGAAGCGGCCCAAGCGGCTTCTCGGAGGGGGCCAACATTTGCCGCCCGGTTAAGGGGAGCTGCTGGGTTCAGGATCCAAGTCAAGATTTGTGCCTGGCTCCCACGGAGCGGGTGCGGCGGCATCCGTGAACCGCCGCGGACACAGGCTCGGCCCGGCCAGCTCCGCATCCAAGGCAGGGTTTTCTCGTTCCAACCGCCTCACACGACCGAGACACACGACCTCTTGCAAGCCTTTCGGCCGGGCTGAGGCGCGCAAGGGCTCGCGGGAGTTTGGTCAAGCGGACCTCCGGCCAAGGGACGTGAGCGGGGAGCTGCCCGCCCTCCGACCCACCTGGACTAAGACGCCCCCTATCTCCGCCCCGAGCTCGGCCCCCTCAGCCATCGCTTCTCCCGCCGCTGCCGCCGCCTCGCCCCTTCCTCGGCGCGGAGAGCCACGTGACCGTGGCCATAGCAACGAGACGCGCGCAGGGCCGCACCTCACCAAGCGGAGGGGGGGGGATTAGAGAGAGAGAGAGAGAGAGAGAGAGAGAAGCAGGAAGGGAGCCGGCCCCCTCCTCGGCCCCTCAGGGGCCCGGCGGCGGCGGCGAGAGGAGCGCTGGTTGCCCAGCGTCGGCCTCCTCCGGGGGGGCCACAGGCTTCCACCGTCACGAACTCCCGCCGCTTTCCCCCCTCAGCCCGTATAATAACAGGATCCGAAGGGACGGAAAGGGCGGACTCTCCACCGGAAGGGCAAGCCGAGGGCCCCCTTCCCGAGCGGACTCGCGGGCCGGCGGGCGTGATGGCGGCCCCGTGTGCCTTGGTGACCAGCTGCGCTGCAGACTTCCCGGGGGAAGAGCTGGTGAAACGTGAGTCCGCTCAAACTGCCGCCCGCCCGGCCCCCCCTCTCCTCCCCTCCCCGCGAGGCCCGGCCACGGTTTTTTTCTGCCCGTGACGTGATTTCCAGGCACCGCCTGCGCCCTGGCTGCTCCCCGGGGCGTAGCGAAGCGGGGCCGTTCCCGTTCTTGGGAATTCCTGAAATGTAACGGTAACAGCCGTTCCCCCATTTACCGAGCAGACGCCAGCGTCGCCTCGCACCTGAAAAGCGTAGCTCATTTTGCTCGGCTTGAACGCCCGGCGGGCGGCAGCCCCACTCCATCAGTTTGCTGGAGGTGTCGCCTCAGTTCAGGGCTGGAGTTCGCCACCCTGCTGGTTGCCCTGTGCCTTCTGCGTTGCTTTCGCCCTCCGGTTGCCCTCTCAGGACGTGCGTGAAGAATGTCTGCCTGCTGAGGCTATATGCTATACCTCTGCTAAGGCAGCCTGCAGTCCTTGAAAGATTATGCCAAATAACAGCAAAACCAAAAACGTGCTAATTCTTTAGGTGCCACAAGCCTC